TGCTTCCTTCATCTTTGCGAATTCTGCAAATGATTTTCTTTTGGTTTCTGCTGTTTCGTTGATGATCGCTTTGATTCAAATGTTTCTTTAGACGATACAGTAATATCTCGTTTTACTCATTTGTCCTTTTAAACCACTTTCCTCGCTTCTTTTGTTTTTGTTGTCTTTTTTTTTCTGCATTTTTAAAGCTCGTGAGTATACTGTGATCTGCGAATTAATAGTCTGCTACAGTAAAGCCACTTTTGCAAAGCTAATCTCGAGAATCATGCGGATGATCAATTCCACTTTGGGAAATACAATCTATGAGAAAGGAATTGGGAACAAGAAATACGGGTGGAGGCTCCTCGATCGAATCGACGATGGTTATGGAACCGAGGAAGGTTTGATTGTGGCGCACAAGGCGTCGTTTGTTCTACCACATATGGGGTTCGTTGATCGTGGAATAGTAGCCGACATCGAAAATAATATTCCCAAGAAGACCAGGTCCACCCATCCTAAAGGGCTTATCCATACATGGCGGCGTGTTCCGTCCTTGTTGAATCGCGAGCGTGGGCGTTGTATCGTATTCTTTGTGATCTTATCCTTCCTTTTCTGCGATCGGATCTTGCCCCTCTCAATCAGTTTATGTATGTAGTTGCGTGCGAGGGCGAGAAGATATCGGTGGGTGTCAGTCGTCCGTTGATTTTAATCCGAACTACTTCCCTTCCTTGCTCAAGTTCAAGGGCGTTTGAAGCTGCGACAGAACGGAGGATTCTGTATAACGAGTCTGAGTGGATTTCCTCTGACCACGAATCACTCTCTAGTTTCGCGTCACAGTTGTTTAGTTAACCACCCATCACTTACTTAGCTTTACTTACGGTGTCGAGTTTGCAAGGACCTTTGTGGCCAAACGTTTCGAAGATGCTGGCCTCTCGGATTTGTCAAATGCAATTGTTAGAGCATGGCCGTGTGGCGAAATGGCATCGCGTCTGACTACGATATGGACATTGTCTGGCATCAGGAGATTGCAGGTTCGACCCCTGTCTCGGTCATTTGTTTTCGTTCAATCCGGAACCGCCTTCCTCGGATCCTTTGCACTCTTTTTTTTTCTTACCTATTACCAACAATCACATTGAGCAAGTTAGTAGTTCTCCCCAGACCATCTATATCAACTTTGTCCGTCCTTTTGGGGTTGCATGGTGCGGTTATTGGGGAAATGTCAATATGAAGTTGTATGGGCCGTTGCAAGGCACGGCATGCCCGAGATCTAGGTCCGTCTGAAATATCGTTTCAGTAAGTAC